CATCATATACAAAATCATGTAACCCCTGTCCTCCGACCTGCAACCTCCTCGCAGATCCATCGACTTTTAGCCACACTAGTGACCAACTCACCAGTGTGGACCCAGATCTCACGGCTCCTCGTGAGATTGCATTACACCGAAACGGTTGCGATTAGCGCGATCTCGCAAGAACTCATAGAGAAGAGCACCGCAATTGAGGTCTGCCTCATCTACCCAGGTCGGATCTTCATATCCACGCCAATGTACCAGAAATTCTCGGTAGATCCGGCCATACCTCGTTCTCTTGCCAGTCCTCATATCAGAAATTCGCTCCACCTCGTATTCGCTCTTGGATCCAGCTGTCTTCAGGTAGGAGGGCCTCATCAAAATCCACCCGATCCCCTTCTGACCCGTTCAGACGAGCTACTGGTCGATCTGGGAATATCTTGACCAGTTTGATCTTCGACACACGCACCACCGGGAAAATGCCGTATGTGGATTCTGCAACCTCCAATCACACTGCGTATTCTCCGATTTTTTCAGCAACGCGGAATGGGCCGTGCCATAGGTGTGCCAGCTTTTTCGCATATCCTTCACGTACTCGATCTAGATACAGCCAGACCCTTGATCCAGACTCTACAGGATGGGGTTGCGCTAGATCGTTATGCGTATCGGCCCGATCCGCGATCGCCTCACGTAGACGTTGGTTCACTTGTTCTCTGGCCTGTTGATAATACTTTTGCATTCGATATCGCCATCTTCTCGGATCTCGATCGTGCTTGCGAGTGCTCCCCACCGGGACCACAGCTTCCAGGGTAGATCTAGGGTCCCAGCCCTGTATCATGTAGAAAGGTGTTTCACCTCGGATCCGATCCCTTGCAGTATTGATCGCGAAGGTGAGTCGTTCGGCGTACTCGTCCCAATCTCGTTGATCTAGATCTTCCACATACATCTTCAGAGCCCTGGTGGTTGTCTGAACCATACGTTCTGCAGATCCATTAGCTTGGGGTCTATATGCCATAGTAGCCCGTTGACGTTGTCCCAGGATCTTGTTGAACGTCTTAAAGAAATCAGACATAAAGCCTGGCTCCCCGATCATGTCGTATCACCTCGCTCGCGCCAAATCGACGAAAGACACACTCTTCGTAAGTCTCGGCGAT